TCCATCTTAAAGTCTCACTATTTTTGCCCTCCACTATCGATGTGTTTCTATTTGCGGCCGTCGGGGAAAGAAGTTTGGGCCTGGTTCGTTTAACAGACTCTTTCACGCTCACGTCACAAAACCGGAAGACGTCTGGAAACAATGTGGACGACGACTTCCTTTGGGCTTTGTTGGAGATAGTGACTTCAACTAAATCTGGGAAAACTGCTTAAATGGCCTGGTTTTCTTCATCTAGATGTTGTTGTATTCCTTCTTTTTTCCTTTTACACATTTCCTGTTAACTTGTGTGTTATAACTACACCTGAAGTCGCCGTTCCCATGTTTCCAGACGTCTTCAGTAAGTGTGAACACAGCCTATTGGCCTGAAGGAAAATGGCACTTTTGAAAATGCAATCTCCATTTTCTCCAACAGATGTCGCCATAACAGAGTCAAACAGCACTTCAACAGAAAAGAAGCAGTAGTTTTTAGTAATTTGCAGGTGGAGCAAGATGTTACAAGTAAGATTTTGCTTATAAATTTCACAAATATATAATAACAACTATATATAATATCTGTTCTTGTTCAAATCAAATAGGCCTATAGTTAGTTTGTAACGCTGATTTACTCTTAATTACCAAAAGAATGGCAAGTTGTTTTTGTTCAGTTCTCTTTCCTCGCTTCATTCTCCTTGATTCCTCTCCTCTTTTGACCTGTTAAAATTCCTCTTTTCTACGTTTTGTTTATCCTTGATTACATGTGAACACTAGGCTGCATCATTTGCCCCAATGTCAGAAATTCAACTTGTATCCAATTTTAAAATGTGACAAAACCAAATAAAAGAAAATCTGTGAAATATTTGCTCAATTGAATAAAATTCACTGAGTCCACCAAGACTCTTAAGTTCCATCCTATTATTATTATTTTTTCTTTATTTTATTATTATTATATTTTTTTATGTAATTGCTTATTCAAAGTCCTTCAAGTCCAAAAGAAATGACACTTTTGCCTTATCTCAGAAACTAATGATGATAGAGACATAAAACTCGCTCAGATCTTCTCACATCCCGTACATGTTTACGTCACATACATCACCACTTCGCGGCACCGCCGAGCCACCTGGCGTGCACCCAATCCAATTCCACACACTTTTGCATCACCGTATGCGCGCGGATTTCTTCCCGAAAACGCTCGTCTAAACGCGGAATAAAAAGTGAAGACTCTACGCCATTTTTCTTCTGTTCTGTTCTTTTCACTTTCTTCTGTTCAGACCGTCATCGTGTAAACGTAGTCTGATCAATTCTACACATGTAGGTGCTGTGAAGTCATGGAAAATTCACTTTAGGTCATGAAAAAGTCATGAAGAAGTTTTGAAAAAGAGTGGGAACCTTGCGTCCCCCATGAAAATCTTTGACAGTTTGTGAAAATGCACAACCTGTCACCAAATGATCCACAATGTCTATATTTCTATTCAACTTCCATTGACAATATTGTTCTAAATTAATTATTTTTGATGTTATTAAAGAAAAAGACAGATTTTTTAGCTCAGATTTACGACTTCCACAGGCACTAAACTTCAGAGGCTTGATGGACCCAGTAAACATCAAGAGAATTTCATGAAATTTGTTACGGAACTTTACTTTGTCAAATGTAAAAAAACTGATACTAGGTACAGATTGATTTTCAAAAATTTTTCAAAAAGCTGGGCAAATGATGCACCCTAGTGAATACTCAGTAAACAGTTTTTAATTACGCTTGGATCGCTCTTCGTGGATTTATTTCACTTTTGAGGATTTTTAAAAGGTGGAACAAGATGCTTAAAGTGTCGATCTACAGCTTCACAAATGTTTGGACTTTACACTAATAATGAAGAATTACTCAAACAAAATTAAACTCCAGGTCTGTTTTTGACGAGCTAACAACACTCTAACCAGACTTAAACCTCAATTTTTGCGTAATACCGGCCCTTTAAACAGAGAAATAAAACAAAACAGTAATATTATTCGCTGTGGCTCCGTTTTTTGTTTTTAAGGCAAAGATAAAAAGCTGTGAGTTGTCTGTCAGTGGTTCCGATTTCGCCCTTTTATTCGTCACTTTTTTTTTTTTAGATTTGAATTTTCGATTAAGGCTCGACGGGCAGGAGGTAAAAGCGCCCATAACATAAAACCCAAAAGAAAATAAAAATAAGAATCAAAACATTAAAAGCACAGTATCATGCGTTCACTCCATTATTACAAACACAATTTACCAAACACTCAAAAATACGCATCTAGTCCCTGCAAGAGTCTAAACTTCACAGCCTTAAAGATGCAACGTGGAACTTTTTGGCTGGGGGTCCGTCACCTGCTTGTTTCTGTGGATACCTCGTCGCTCTGCCTGGAATGTTCCGCACTGTGACTTTAAACAGCTCTACTTTACATTTATTTGCTTTTATGGCTCAAAAATACCTCGAAAAACAACATTCTCTCCACAGATCTGACCTGTAACTTAGTCTGGTTTCGTCTCCGTGAAGATAGAAAGGTTTAATGCCATACTGCGGGACATTCCAGACGAAGCAACAGCGTCTCCGCGGAGAAAAGCGTCTGACGGGCCCTTCGCCGGAAAAGCTACACGGCGCAGCTTTAACTAAACACGAAGAAAATAACAGGAAATAAATGTATTTTTTTCACAAACTGACGATAAAATACTGTTAAAAATATGGTTATAAACAGTTCTGTGTGAAAATAAACGAAAGGGTTCACAGCGTTGGAGCTTTTAAGGGAAAAATTCCAAAAAAGTCTGAGTTTAAATTCTTCAAAATTCCAAAAGTAATTTCCAAAAATATTTCTTGATGTCACTTCAGCTGCAGGAATAAAACCACAAAATGCACACAAAAATTGAAATTCCAGAATCACCAAAAGAATTCACAACATTTTTTTTTTAATGATCACTTTTTTTTTATGAATTCGTAATTGGAAAAACCCACTTTCTGTTAGCCTGGTTTAGCCTGTTGAGAAAATTATTTGGTCGATATTTATGATGAAATTACAAAGTTCTGGTTGAAAACTAAACACCAAAAGTTATCGTATAAACTCTTTTAATCACAGACTGTATAAAGAAATGGACTGAGGAAGTTCGACAGGGTTTGGCTCCAGTCAAATGAAGCTCATTGAGGCTGAGAGTATCATAGCAACCAAAGAGCCAATCAGGAGTGAGGCTATTCAAGGTAACGCCCCTTAACATCCACACTTCTGGTTTGGCAAGGACTGGATACTTAGCAACACTGTCAGGCAGAATTATAGTTTTGCGTAGACCCACTGCACACCGCCGGCATCGCCTTGTCGCTGTCGTTTTTGATTTACGTATTTGTGTCGAGGTCTATACCCTGCAAAGTGATTCACTGCCAAAAAGTGAGGAGGCTTGGATTGTGTTCTTGTTTACAAAATGAAACGTGAAAGCGGAGTACCAGAAATGTATGTAGAGCGGACGCAGAGAGGATCAGTGACAGCCCTTATTGTCCGCATCTGCCGAGCACAGATTCCGAGACAGAATCCAAGACAGCTGCGTCCAGAGTCACTTTAAGTATGAAGTGTTTTCATTGTGTTTGGAGCTTTGGTGTTTAAACGACAATTTCAGTCACTCGTATCACTGCAATACCTTACTGCGTCCGGATCAGTGCCTATGGGTTTGGTAGTCAGCGTTGCAGTGGACGGCATTGCAGTAGTTGCCGTTGCGGGTAGTCAGTGTTGTTTTAGTCCGCGTTGTAGTCGGCGTTGTGGTAGTCCACGTTGGCATTGTGGTAGTCGGCACTGTAGTCGGCATTGTGGTGGTCAGTGTTGTAGTCGGCGCTATAGTCGGCGTTGTAGGCTGCGCTGTATTCAGTGTTGCAATGGTCGGCGTTGTGGTGAGGCCAATATTGAACAAAGACCCTTTTAAACGGGTGTTGCTAAACTTCCCTAGAGTTGCTAACAGAAAATAAATAACAATAACAGTTTTCCGGTTGGAGTTCATGTTTTTTTCCAAGTTGGACACGTGAAATGTAATAAAACACTTGAAGTGCGGACGTGACGTTGTCTCCGAGATCAGAAAGAAAGAATAATAAACCGCAGCATGGGTAAGAAGACGCCTGATAGGTCTGGTATTAAAGTTCATACCTTGATTTACGAACAAAATAACAAAATAAAAACCCCAGGATCATGTCGACCGAGATAATATGAACATTTACGACCAAAACACCAAGTCTGACGGCAGCAGATTTTTCAATAGAAACAGAACTAGAGCCAGAGTTGATGGAACCGGAAACACACCCATGCGCACTTCCTGTGTGGAAAGTGGGTAATCTCTGTCCATTTATATATACAGTCTATGATTTTAATGATTTTAATCTTGATGAGAAGCAATAAATTGTGAATAAGCATCTTAATTTTAACTTGTTTTACATATAACTAAAAGATTTTGTTTTTTAAATCAAGGTTTCAGCATTTTATTTTAAAATTCAAGCTAAATTACGCTCTAGAGATAAGAAAATTACACTTGAATATCTGATTTTTTTTATAACTAACCACAACATCATCCGTATTAATTAGTGTAATATTTATATATTTTTGAACTTTCTGCTGAGCCCTGACCAAAAGCATAACCAAAAAACTTTAAACCGATCTTTTACACAGCAACAAAATATTAAAACTTTTCAGATTTAGCCAACGTTAAAGCTGCACTGTGTAACTTTTCTGGTCGAGGGTGGAGATTGCTTTTTATTATTTTGTCTGGAATGTTCCGCAGTGTGGCATTAAACCATTGTGTCTTCACGGAGACCAAACTGGACCAAGTTACAGGTCAGTTTTCTCAGTATTTTTGAGCTTTAAAACCACTTGTAATTGAATAAATAAATGTAAATTAAAGCTGTTTAATGTCATACTGTGAGACATTCCAGACGGAGCGATGACGTCTCCATAGAAATGCCCAAAAAAATGTACACAACGCAGCTTTTAACAGTAATTTCATCAGTTTAAGCAACATCGTGGCCATTAAAAATACATGTTAAGACGCTTTAAAGTAGTTTTAATATGTACATGAGTGGGGTGGTTTGAAAAAATACAGCAAACATCAGATAAAACCATTTAAAAATACCAAAAGTCTCTTGATCGTCAGGCTTTAGAGGAGTTTAAAACGTGGAGGCGGCGAAAAACAGCAGCTGAGGTGGCATCAAAACGGCCCATTCACTTGTATTAAAAATATCGTTCTTTGTTAAAAACGGGCAGACGGGGGCGCTGCTGTCCGCCCCGGCCGGTCCAAGAAATGGAGGAAAACTGGGTCAAAAACACGAACCTGCCGATGCCGTAAAAACTTTCAATGCAATTCAAACGTACGGCATGTTTAATGCCGCACTGTGTGACATTTCCGCTACATTTAAACACAAAAAAAGAAGAGTAAAAGAGGCTCTAAATCTGTGTGTCATTTTTCAAAATAAAACCAAAAATAAACAAAAAAAACAACGATTTTCTTCATTATTTGTCTCCAAAGCCAAAATGAAAATCGGATAATGATTCATTTTTTCAGTTTTCGATTTTGTTTTAAATGAAAAATGGAAAAAAACTGATAATGACCATTTCATGTTTAGGTGATGCCGGACTGAACCAGGACTAATCCAGACCGGGACTGAGACAGGGACCGAGACCGGGACCAGAACAAGACTCAGACCGGGACTGAATCCGGGACTGAATCCGGGACTGAGACCAGGACTGAGGCCATGACCAGACCAGGACTGAGACCGGGACCAGACCAGAACTGACCAGGACTGACTCTGGGACTGAGATCAGGCTGAGGCCGGGATCAGACCGGGACTGAGACCGGGACCAGACCGGGGCCAGTCTGAGACTGAGACCGGGACCAGACCGGGACCAGTCTGAAACTGAGACCGGGACCAGACTGGGACTGAGACCAGGACCAGAGCAGGACTGAAAACGGTTCAGTCCTGGTTCAGTCCTGGTTCAGTCCTGGTTCAGTCCTGGTTTAGTCCTGGTTTAGTCCTGGTTCAGTCCGGCATCGCAGTTTAAGTCACATAAACGGGAAATGGTCATTATCCGTTTTTTCCATTTTTCATTTAAACACAAAATCAAAAACTGAAAAAATGAATCATTATCCGATTTTTTCATTTTGATTTTGGTGACAAATGATGAAGAAAATTGTTGTTTTTTCATTTTCTTATTTTTGGTTTTATTTTGAAAAACGAATGATACACGGATTGTTCCAACTGCAAATTCCTGAAAATTTCTCTCAATTTAAATGTGTTTTTTCTGTTGTCGTTGCTTTGAATATTCCGCAGTACGGCATTAAATAACTCCATTAAATCTCCATGTAGATAAGCAGTTCAAGTATGCGTATTATTCAAGTTATTTCTTCACCATAAAACAGTTGGGACTGAATGAGTGCAAGAGAGGCAAAGTAAACGCCGTACTGCGGAACTTTCAAACAAACACAGAGTTTTTATTTCCAGTTTTTCGGAGAATCGACATTTTAAAGGTCCTATATTACGCAAAATAGACTCGTGTGAGCTTTAAGTCATGTTTTAATGCCGTTATCTCATCAAAAACAGACCTGGAGTTGTGTTTTGTTTCGTTCTCACATGTTTGAGCTCCACCTTGTGATGTCACGAAGTGGTAGTTTTCAAGTTAACAGCTTCTTTCACCTTCAGTAGTTCAGTAAAATTTTGCAATTCCAGCGGCTGAAATGATCTAAATGATTTTAGTGAAGGTGCGTGGGAGTTTAAAAACACAATGGAGCACCTTCTGTATTACCACATGATGACATCACAAGGTGGAACAGAGTGTTTTCGGCTCAAGACAAGAACACTGACCAGAAAACAGCTTAATTAATTGGGGGAAAATTAAGTGTAATAATAAATGTTGACGATTTTAAAGGGAATTCATGACAAAAAAAACCTCCAGATTTGATTTCAAACGATTTAAACTTGTAGAAATGTGGATTCTTTTCAAATTCAGTGCGTCATTAAAAAATCCTTTAAAAAGCCACAGATTTGAATTGCATTTTTTTTCGCTTCGTTCAGTTGTTTAACATTGGCAGGATCCCGAAGAGAGACTCCAAAAACAACTGTAAAAACACACATCTGGATGGGAAACGGAAAATGACTTGAATTCTGACTTTTCTCGAAGTCTTTTAAGCGCAATAAAAACACCTGCGATTAAATAAATGCCAGAAATGTCTAATGCCGGAATTGGGAACATTCAGGGGAGCACCAATGACGGTTCCGTGGATCGAAGCGTCGCCGGAAAAGTTACACAGTGAGTCTTTAAAGTGGAGCTAAACCCGAAACTATACATGTTTTAACGCATTATTTACCTTTTTTTTTTTTTATTTGGGCGATTTTCATACAAATTATAGGCAACTTTGCAGATTTCTGGTTAAAAACACTCAAAAATTACGTGTTCTTGCCAGGTTTAGTTTAGATTTTCAGGTGTTCAGTCCCAGTTTAATAAAGGTACACTGCGTAACATTTCCGTTGCAGGTGCGTCTTTTGCCCGTTTCTATGGATATGTCACTGCACTGTCTAGAATGTTCCGCAGTGTGACTTTAAACAGCTCTGCCTCCCGTTTATTGGTTGAATCGCTCAGAAATACCTAGAAAAACAGGCGTTCCCTCCACAGATCTGACGTGTAACTCAGTCCGGATCGGTGTCCGTGGAGATAGAAAGATTTAACGCCGCACTGCGAAACATTCCAGACGAAGCAACGACATCATTCGACAGACCCTCCACCAGAAAAGTTACACAATACATCTTTAAAACATCATGATTCCAATAAGAGGTAGCGAGAATTCAAGTCATTTTCACAGATGTATTATTTGAACAGCGCGGTGTGGTCTGGGGGCGGGGTTTGCGGTGAGCGTTGGGGGCGGGGTTTCGAGGGGTCCGGGGGTGGTACAGTTCACATCATGACGTGGCGGCGCCGGTGCAGAGACAGGTGGTCAGATCTGGAGAAGGAGCGGTCACACTCGGTGCATCTGAAGGGTTTGATCCCCGTGTGTTTCCGGAAATGACGCGTGAGTTCATCTGAGCGGGCGAAGCGCCACGTGCAGCCCTCCCACGTGCAGTGGTACGGCTTCTCCCCTGGAAAGAACACACGGAGAGTTAGAACGACAGGAGAAGAAGAGGAGGCAGGTGTTAGAGGAGACGAAGAGCTGTGAAAGGTTAGGGACGACAGGAGAAGAGGAGGAGGTATCAGACGAGAAGAAAAGATGGAAATGGTTAGGGATTATAGTAGAAGAGATGTGAGGAGTAGTGTTGTAGTCCAAGACCGCACTAATCGAGACCAACACCTGTCCAAGACCTGTCCAAGACCTGTCCAAGACCCAGGGTTCCCACGGTCATGGAAATCCTGAAAAAGGCATGGAAATTGAAAAGGTCATGGAATTTTAGTATCTCTTTCATGCAACTCCAGCGTTCTGGAAAGTTCTCATGAGGCTATCCTGATTATTTCTGAACGTCTGCGCCTTTTGATTAAATGAGACGACAAAACCTATAATCCCAAACCATAAGGTGAGAGGAAAGGTTCACATTTCATATTTAGCCCTAAAAGTCTGATCAATTCTACACATGTAGATGCAGTAAAGTCATGGAAAATTTACTATAGGTCATGAAAAAGTCATGGAAAAGATTTAAAATGTTGTCAGTGAAAAGAGTGGGAACCCTGGAGACCAGGACAAGACTAAAACCTCTGAGGGTCAAGACTGAGACAAGCCCAAGACTTTTAAAGGCCAAGACTGAGACAAGACCGAAACCACGGCCCATCGAGACCATCTTTATCATTTTCAACATTTATGTGTATTTTACAGTTATTTTGGCACATTTATATCACTGTTTTTATGAATCTATCTCCATTTGATCACCTGTCAAATGTCAGATCTTGAGACTGAGACAAGACCGAGACAAGACCAAGAACAAACACGGTCGAGTCTGGTCTCGAGACCAAGACCGGTCTTAAGTACTACGACACTGGGTAAACTGTAGTAGAAGAAGAGTTAGGCATTATAGAAGAAGAAGAGATGGAAAGGGTTTAGTATTCTAGTAGAGGAAGAGCTGTGTTTATGTACAAAAGCAGTTTCATTACAACAATAACAATTCAAACTTTGAATTAAAATAATAATTATAATATTTGTTTTAAAAACAGAAGAGTGCTGATAAAAACATACAAACAGAACTGTTTGTGTCTGGATTTAAACAGTTAAACAACTTCAGGAACATTCTTCTTAGCTGCATAAATCACAGGGTCATAAACTTTTTACACCACAAAACTGGACCAAGACTAAACCCAGACTAAACCAGTTTAAGGTAAAAGGTAATATATATGTTTTGTCCTTGCATTGAGAATCTAAATCTGCAGTGAGGGTAGCTTGCTGCAAATTTTGAAAAGCTTGGCCAAAATTTAAGATGTAAACACTTAAATCTTTCAGAAAATGACTTAAAAGTAGTAAAATTACTTGTCCCTGCATCAAGATCATTTTTCTTACGATAAACGATCTTTAGACTAGAATGAAGCATCTCAGAACTACAGATAATAAATCTAAAAACAAGATGAATAACCTGATATAAGTTTTAAAATTTTGGCCAGAACAGAGAAATGTGCAGTGCTCCACCCTGGTCTTGAGCGAGGTTTGGTCGAGATCTATGGGGAACCAAACTCTTCACACACTGGCCCCGTCTGTCCTCCGAGTCAAATCTGAACTTTGTGTGAGTCTCTGTTATCCTCGTCTACATCACTTTAGGTAAAGCAGTAACATGAGTGTCGCCTCTGACCTGTGTGTATTCTCCGGTGGGCCTTGAGGTGTGAGCTCTTGGTGTAGACTTTCCTGCAGCCCTCGTAGTCACACATGTGGATCCTGCGTCTCTTCACGTCCGGAGAGTCTGGGTCCAGCTGCTCCAGGTCGATCACAGCGCTACAATGAAACACAAACACAAAACACACACACAAGAGCTCAGATATGAGAGATAAAGATGCTTAAATGATGTTATGTGTGTCAAATAAGACTGTGATTGACTGACGAGGATCATTCTGTCAGAATTGGGACATTTTAAATCTTAATATTCATCTGAAACAACTTCTGCTGTGGATCACTGCACAGCTTTTTTTTTTTTTTTTTTTAGATTTGGACCAAAATGACGACCCAATCCACTGATTAAGAAAATAAAACTGAAGAATGAAGTTAGTAGAGAAGAGTGGGCGTCTACCAGCTGAAAATGTGAATTGATCTGCAAAATAATCTGCTGCACCTGATTTTGAAAAACATAAAAAAACAGAAGTGGTTCATTTTAAACTGTTTGCAGTGGTTCAAAGTTTCCATATAGTTTTCGAGGATCTTTTCACGACTCTCAGAGATTGAGGTAAAGTTAACAACCTGATTTGCCGCACACACACACAAACAGTGTCAAACTCTAATTCACAGAGGCCAAAATTAAGTCCTGGGCCAAACTAAATATTTATTGAAAAATTTCAACAACATCTGCATGTTTTCTCTTTTTTTGAGATTTGTAATGTTAAACCTTTTCTTATTAAAATAAATGTTTAATAATAGTTTTGCTTAAACATTGAATCCAGAACAAGCAGAATATAAAAAAAACAACATTTTAAATAAATAATGTCTCTATAGTCGATCTGTAACCAGCGGGCAGCTCTAATACATATTTGATATGATCTCATGGGCCAAATCTAATTATACTGCGGGCCAAATTTGGTCCCCGGGCCTGAGTTTGACATGTCTGCTCTAAATTATGTTTGTGCAATTAATTGAATTTTGATCACAATTTCGATTTGTGTTTGAAATTATCTCCAAACTCATAAAATTGAGTTGAAACGGTAAAGCTTGGGATATTTTTTATAGAAACAAGTATATTTATTTTATTTTTTAAATATATAGATTGTAAAACAGCAGGATATATAGTTTATTTTGGATACATTTATGTTTTTTCTTTGCCTTATTAAGTTTATTTTATGTTTTATACAACACAAAACTGCTCTAAGGTTCGTATTTGTAGCCTGAATTTATTTTCAATTTGAAAGTTTTGCATAAATTATCAATAGCAAAGTGTTTTTTGAGAGAGAAAAGCTGAATAAATGCATCGTGTAACTAAAAAATAATTGTGATCATGATTTTTTTTCCATAATCAAGCAGCTCTAGTCTAAAAGTCCTCATTATAAGACACCATGAAGACAGGATATTATCACATTATATAATCCAACTGTAGTTTTTATTGCTTTATTAATCCTGACCATTACAGTTAATGTTTGACACAGTCGCCTCGAGCCTTTGCACGCCACAAGCACATTTCTAGTGTAATTCAAACTCTGTCCACTAAGAGGCAGCATGTATCTCCTGATCTCGCCCTCGGCCTTCCTCCGGTCCACTCCAGAACTTTGTGTCCAGTATTTTTGTAAACATATTTTAATCCTCCGTATTCTGTTTTTGTTACATAAGAGTCCAGTCACTCAGGCTCAGCTCTGGTGCAGTGAGTCACACTTCCAAACGGACCGCATTACCCACAATCCCCCACCGTGACACGATAAGGAAACGGTAGAATTAATACAACTAACAGAGCCATGTAGGTTTGCGGAACGTCTGGTTAAAGGTTTTCTACGGTGAAATGTGTGTGTAAATGTGTGTGTAAATGTGTGTGTAAATGTGTGTGTAAATGTGTGTGTAAATGTGTGTCAGATTCTCCAGCAGCTTCATAAGTCCTTGTTGAAGTAATCCTGGTTTAGTCTTGGATGAGTCCTAATTTAGTCCTAGTTCAGTCCTGGTTTAGTCCTGATTTAGACCTGGTTTAGACCTGGTTTAGGCCTGGTTCAGTCCTGGTTTAGTCCTGGGTTAGACCTGGTTTAGACCTGGTTTAGTCCTGGGTTAGACCTGATTTAGACCTGGTTTAGACCTGGTTCAGTTCTGGTTTAAACATGGTTCGGTTCAGTTCTGGATTAGTTCTGGATTAGTCTTGGTTCAGTCCTGGTTCAGTCCCAATTTAGACCTGGTTCAGTCCTAGTGTAGTTCTGGTTTAGGCCTGTTTTAGTCCTGGTTCAGTTCTGGTTTAGTCCTGGTTCAGTCCTGGTTCAGTCCTGGTTTAGTCCTGGTTTAGTCCTGGTTTGGTCCTAATTTAGTCCTCAGCTCAGTCCTGGTTTAGTCCTCAGTTCAGTTCTGGTTTAGTCCTGCTTCAGTCCTGGTTCAGTCCTGGTTCAGTCCTGGTTTAGTCCTGGTTTAGTCCTGGTTTGGTCCTAATTTAGTCCTCAGCTCAGTCCTGGTTTAGTCCTCAGTTCAGTTCTGGTTCAGTCCTGGTTCAGTGCTGGTTTAGTCCTGTTTTAATCCTGAACAGCGTTAATATCAATAAAACGGTTCTGCATCATTTTGAGTTAAAAAAACCATCAAATATTACACATTTTTACTCAGCTGGCTCCTTTATGTTGCGAATTTCTGTTGTAAAAAAACAAAAATACAACACACAACCCCCCCCCCCCCCCCCCCCCCCCCCCCCCCCCCCCCCCCCCCCCCCCCCCCAAACAAAATTTTTAAATAAACATAACCAACTATTTTTATTCAACCTTTTCTGATTTAAAACCGAAAGCAGGACCCAGCAGCTCTCGTCTCTCGTCTCTCGTCTCTCGTCTCTCTCGTCTCTCGTTTCCTTTCTGTGTCGGTGTGAGTGACAGCCTGCTGCATTACGTAATTTTGTTTACAGCCCTGCCCAGTCCCTCTCTCCCTCCCACACACACACACACACACACACACACACACACACACACACAACGCACTCACACAGATCTCCCATGATGCTCCGCTCCTCTGAGGACACTCCCGGTGAACGGTTACAGCTGCCTCGCCCGTTGGGTGTGGCACAGGCTTAATAATAATGTCTCCACACGAACGCGCCGCCCGCCCGCCCCCTCCACTGCACCGACTTGTTTTATATGGAAAATGTGACGCCGGGTTTAATCGACGAAACTCCACTGGTCATTCACCGTTTATTTAGGGTTTTAACGAGGGAAAAAAAACAACAACAAAAAAAAGGATCAGAATTGGATAATATGTAAATTTCAGCGCGTGATTTGACCAAAAAAAAGAGGAAGTGAAATTCAAAATCACGTCGCAAACAGAGCCGGAGACGTGTTTTTTGTTCCATTCGACGCACAAATCCTGCACGTTTAGGCCGAGCTGTCGTCTCGGATGCAAAGAAAACACCCTGTTCCACCTCGTGATGTCATGGTTTTAAACGCCACACGCCCTCACGAGAATCATTTGGATGATTTCAGCGCTGGAATTGCCAAACGATACCAGGGGTGTAAAAATAACCAAAATATCGTGATGTCGTATCTTCAAAGTTCTTACAATAATATCGTGGACCGTCACAATATATCGAATCACACGTTTATTTGCTTAAAGTCATTTCTATGGTGCAGCAAAAGGTCTAAGCAAAGACTAAACCAGGTCTAAACAAGGACTAAACCAGGTCTAAACAAGGACTAAACCAGGTCTAAACAAGGACTAAACAAGGACTAAACCAGGTCTAAACAAGGACTAAACCAGGTCTAAACAAGGACTAAACAAGGACTAAACCAGGTCTAAACAAGGACTAAACAAGGACTAAACCAGGTCTAAACAAGGACTAAACCAGGTCTAAACAAGGACTAAACCAGGTCTAAACAAGGACTAAACAAGGACTAAACTCTAAAACCAGGTCTAAAACAAGGGACTAAACCAGGTCTAAACAAGGACTAAACAAGGACTAAACCAGGTCTAAACAAGGACTAAACAAGGACTAAACCAGGTCTAAACAAGGACTAAACAAGGACTAAACCAGGTCTAAACAAGGACTAAACCAGGTCTAAACAAGGACTAAACCAGGTCTAAACAAGGACTAAACAAAGGACTAAACCAGGTCTAAACAAGGACTAAACAAGGACTAAACCAGGTCTAAACAAGGACTAAACCAGGTCTAAACAAGGACTAAACCAGGTCTAAACAAGGACTAAACAAGGACTAAACCAGGTCTAAACAAGGACTAAACCAGGTCTAAACAAGGACTAAACAAGGACTAAACCAGGTCTAAACAAGGACTAAACAAGGACTAAACCACGTCTAAACCAGGACTAAACCAGGTCTGAACCGGGACTAAACCAGGACTAAACCGGGTCTAAACCGGGTCTAAAACCAGGTCTAAACCAGGACTAAACCAGTTCAGTCCTGGTTTAGTCCTGATTATCCTGAAGAAATCGTAATCGTAAATTTTCATTTCGTGATTGTAATTTTTGACATCGTAACTAATCCGTGTGTCATTCGTTCATTCGTTTTTCAAAATAAAAACAAAAATAAGAAAACAAAAAAAAAACCAATTTTCTTCATTATTTGTCTCCAAAACCAAAATGAAAAAAACAGATGACAAAACAAATGATTTGTTTTTTCAGTTTTCGATTTTGTGTTTAAATGAAGAATGGAAAAAACAGATAACGACCGTTTCCCGTTTACGTGACTCTGTGACTGCGATGCTGGACTTTTGCACGGCGTACGGACTGAACCAGACCAGAACAAGACAAGGACTGAGACCGAGACCAGGACCAGGCCGGGACCAGACTGGGAAAAGTAGAATATTAATAACAGTTTTTGCCTCCACAAAATATCGCAATAAATATCGTACCATGAGATTTGGATATCGTTACATCTAGGATTGTGCAAAAATATTGAAATATCGATATATCGTATGGTTTAATGTGATGATACAGTATCGATATCGTGAGCTGCTGTATCGATATATCACCAAGAGCATTTTTTGGTTTATTTTACTACATTATTTTGTTACAGCTACAGTTTGGTTGTTTGTTTCGATGAAGGAAACTCGTTTATGCGACACATTTGACATTTTCACTGTTTTGATGATTAAAATGTTTGTGTTTCATATG